GGGGCAGACAAGTGGGGGACGGGTAAGTTCTGAAGGGCTTTAAAGATAAGCCCAAGAAGAGGCCCCGGCCGAGCCTCCCGATTTTCCCGGACATGCCTGGCTTTTGGGGATTTCCCCCCGGACGGGGATTTGAGCCCCCAAAAGCCGGACATGTCCGGGAAAATCCGGACATATGGTAACCCTAGCTGACCTAAGTCCCCATGTAGACAGCACTAAATCGATGGAAGAATTCTTCTGTTGATCTAGCTGTTGCTTCTTAGGGAAATGGGTTACCTATAGTGACAGGAGAACCCCTTCCATTGAGATAGGTAGTGCCTACTCTGAAATGCGACAGCAGCATATCTGCTGCCACTGTAGTGTTTTAAGTATAGACGAACCCTCAGAAACTTCACATTACACTGCTAACGAGTGTGAGCTTGGTGGCAGGTTCTGTTTCTAGCGCATGGGGATGCTCACGCCAGCCAATTGAATGTTTCCAAAGTGGACACCTTTGTGTTTTCTTATTTTCTAATCAGCTGCAACTTTTTAGCTACTGCTTTACAAGTCCTCTGCTGTGAAAGCTGGCATGTGTAAGAACAGTGGCTCTCCTTAGACATGAACAGAAAATGGCTCATTCACACAGCAGAGAACCTGCAAACTCGTAGCCAAGTGTGGAGTTTTAAACCTTAAAACAAAATACCATGCAATAGAGGTTAAATGCTGCTTCATCGAGACAGAGCGCTAAGACTTGGAGGAGGAGCTGAAAGGGGACAGAAAAATACTATCCAAGGCTCTTATCAAAGCTTTGGCACTTTTAAATTTGACAAGTCTTGAAACTGCAGGCTGTGCAGAATAGTGTTGAACTGAGAAGCAACTGTTTTTAAAACACCCCCTCCAAATCTCTATCAACAGCTTGAACAACCTTGGAGATTCCTCCCATCCTGTTCTTTTATAACACTTTGCCTTGAAACGTAGTCCAGTAGTATTAAAATATCAGACTCCCTGTAACCTCCTCAGATCGAACTGCATACCCAACTGGAATGTCCAGTCACAGTAATATACCTATGTCCCAGTTCTATAGTTATTGCATACCCAATACTCCACTAGACTTCGATGAGAGCATAAAAACTGTAGGAACTTAACATTAAATAGCAAAATCTTCAGTATTCCACATTCCTTACAGAAGCAGAACTGAGTTCCACATATACAGGGAAAAGAGAATAACAGAGTTGAAATTCACCACACCAATCTGAGAGCAGCATTTTCCCCTCATGTCGCTACAAGAAAGGCTAATCACATATACATCTCAGGCTAGATTGTGCCATTATTTAGCCACTAACCCTCCAAAGAGGCAATGCATTACACTACTCCAGGAGAAGCACAATTTCTTTAACGCTGGTCCTTATGCACAGGGGAAGAGCAATTTGCTCCATCCATACTAAGCTATGGCTTGTACTTTTTGATAACTTTTTGTTCAACTATGTTTCATATGCAAATTATTAAGATAAGTATTGGCCTAAATTTTCAAACTTGAATGCATCAAGTTAAGCTCCTAAAATCTATATTTAGGCACCTACATAAAAATGGTCTGATTTATAGAGTGCCCACCACTCCCATTTAATTTTACACTGATTGTATTAAAGGTGCCTAAACAGATTGAGATGCCTAACTTGAGGCACCCAAGTTTTAAAATGTTGATTATTGTACATAATCTTCCCCCCAAAATATCTGAAATACTAGTTGTCCCATCAACCTGCAGGTGCTGTCGACTGAGTCCTCTGGACAGTGGTGATTGCAGTGACACTGCAGTGGCTTCTGAGGAGGAGCAGGTGCCGTACTCTCACCATCTTCCTTTCTGTTCTCCAAGTTCAACTGTCCAGAACTCCGCAAATACGGTTTGTCTAGACCATTGGCTACAAAAGAAAGAAGAAATGTAAGTTTCCAGGTGGGGGGTGTGTGTGAAAGACTCTGAACAAGTCTTAATTTTTTTTCTTATTCGCAAAAATTTTAGACAGTTCTTGGTTTTGTATTGGAGATTAAAGTGCAGTTTTAAGATGACTCTAAAAATGTAATTGTGGGGTTTTATGTTTATTGTGCCTCAATGATTCCATAGCAAATTTGCTAATTGTATAAATTTTCTAACTGCCATCCATACAACCTCAAGTGGGGGCTGAGAATCAAACCGTTCCCCCCGCCTCCTCCCCCCGCTTTGGTGCATCATTACCGGTACCAGATTCTGTAAGACAAATTCCATACGTGGTTACACCACTACCTTCAGTGGAATTGCACAGTTGTAACAGAGGGCAAGGTTTGGTCCCATAATTTTAGTAATAGTTTATTGATGGTGAGTGGATGGAATAGAATCCAGCTCCCTCTCCCAAATTTATGTTGCCTCTTCAATTAAAAAAAACAACTGCTAAAAACAACTTATTTTTGTCACCAAAAGCAAGGAAATATTACTTTAAATCTACATAGTGTAGTCTATTAAGTAAGAAAATGCCAGTTTTTATATAGTAACTATAGAGTAGGAATGCACTTTAGGATGAACAATTCCAAACCTTACAGAGATTATTAATCCCTTCTCAAACCAGCAAGCATGAGGTGATTTAGGGCTCTGTCTTTTTGGAAGTGGGGGGGTTCAAAGGATTTTCTCTTTTTCGGTACTACTCACGCAGCACTTAAAACTAACATATACTTAGAATTTCAGTCTCAAGGACAAAAAAATTAGCTCGGCATTAAAACCAGCATTGGTAGTTTCTTACTTCTAATTTTCTCCCTCCTCCCCCGCCTGTAATCTCTTTCAAATGTCATCTGGAGCCAACTCTCTCAACCTGTGGAGCTTAGACAGCATCTGGATAAACCCCCCACATTCTTGTCTTACTTTTTTATTTACAATCTTTAAAAACCATTTGCATACTTTTGATTCCCGGTCTGTTTCTCCAGATCCAACCAAGCACTTTTTCTCATGCCTCCAGCAGGTCTGCAGGGAATGAGCATAGTTTCCTCTGCAGTGACTATTCCTTACCACTTTGGGTAGCCCTGATGCAACTGAGGACAGGACAGGGAGACTAGCTTTCCTCTGCTCCCTCCACTGTTGTGGAGTTGCTGGGCAGAAAAAAAATGAGGAGGAAGCAGAGGAGGGGTGGCAGAAAGCAGCTGCCTCACTTTAATGGTGAGGAGGTGATAGGGATAGAATGGGATGGCAGAGGCTGGAGGGGTAAAAGGCTAAAGGGACAGGCACCATAGGGCTATCCTCCTCAACCTTTCCCCCCGTTAGGCCCGGTCTCCTCCTGGGACTCACAGGGCGCTTTCAGGTTTCAGACTGGATCAATCTCTCTGCACCTGGATAAACTCTGCACACAGAGCTTATCTTTCCCATCTGAACGAAACCTGTCCAGATAACAGCTCCGATGGCTGTACAAGCTTTAGTGTCCTCCTCATTCATTAATGGGTGATATAAATGAACATAATCTTCAGCAAACTGGGAAAAAGGGTTCTGAGCTCATAAGCTTTGATAAAAGTGTGACCTGATGGTGAAATGCCTGAGAACCACTGATCTAGAGAGAAAACTTAGATTTGGGGAGACGATAGCCCTCCCATTCCAATTTCACCTCAACAGACTATGGCAGAAAATATCAAACTGTCCCCATCGTGAAAAACATTTGAATACAACCACCAATGTAATGCATGTGAAATATAAACAAAAGCCCACAGAACGTACATTAAAAGGCACATGGAATATACATTAATGGCCTGATCTTGGAAGGTGCTCAATAGTCTCACATCCCACTGAACCCCATGAGAGCTTTGAGTACTCAGCACTGCTGAAAGTCAAACCGAAAACTCATTGTGAAGTATCCATAACATAAAACATTTGCATTTGGTGCACAATACACCTGGCTTCCCCAGAGTCCCGTAGCTGCTTTTTTTTTTAAATCTTAGCAAAATCAGAAATTAAAACCAATTTACACAAGGAATTCACTGCATCTGATGTGTTTTCTACTTTCCCGTAGCTATGATTAATATTAAGTATTTTCTTTTTTAAATAAATTATATTTGCATTATGATCTGCTTCTATTTCTCTAAAAGTGTCATTTGTATTTATCATATTTTAAATCCAGCCTATATGCAACAAATTAACATCAATAAATGTTCCCTTTGTGGGTCACTGGAACACAGATTTTTAAACTAAGTCCTCTTTCAACAAGCAGTCACAAAGCAGGTTTTCTGACTATATTACATTGTTATTTGTGGATAAGAACTGAACTTTTATAATGTTCCGGTCAAATATTTTCAGACATCTGGCTCATGGGGCAGGAAATCTAAATAAAAATATTAATAGTAATACCGAGTGAAAACACTAGGCTCTGATTTAATCATGACATTTTCTGGATGTATCTACTAGCCAGCCAGAGCTTTTCTATGGCAAAAATTACAAAATGGTAACATTCTAAGTCTAACATAAATAATGGGTCTGGAACAATTAAATATCATAGTATGGTCTCTGAACCTACCAAATTTAGACAAGTAAATGCCTTCTTCACTATAAATGCAACCTGATGTCTTTCCTTTTCTCACAAATATCAGAAGATAATCCACTGGGCAGAGACTGATGTACAGACAGCAATACAATGTGACATCAGTCAATTTTGATCTAGAACAACTACTCTCAGTGAATCCAGCAACTACCTAATGAATTAATTTAGGCCTCAAGAAATATAACACAAGACTTCTAACTTTTCTAAATCCTGCACTTGCCCATTCACTTACTAAATTATTTTTCAATTTCATTGTTATAAAATGTCTATTTTTATTAAAATACGAAAAATCACATAATACCTATACTGCATGCACTGTAGAATGATTACATTTGAACAGACCAAAATTAAAGCACTGAAATGATTGTTTTATGGGAAAGGGAAATTGTTAACTGCTAACTCACTGTACTTTACAGTCAGTCATCAGATAAAAGAATTCCCACCCTTTTTTGTGTGTGTGGCAAATAATCAGCTATGACAATGCAGCTCCTAAAGGAAGCTGTAATAAAGTATGCCTCAACACAGCCTGATATACTGCATAAAAAAGTAAAAAGGTAACAGTAAAACCACAGTATTGCTGATGAGATGTTATTGGTGATGATCATATACTGAAGAAGAAAAACAGAATGACGAACAGGCTTCCATCATCCTATACTCACTGTTGCCAAAAAACTGAAAAAAGGTCAGGTTAAGTACCGCACATTTTTATTAAAAAACTGAGTAAATTAAATTTGGTATGAAGAAAAATAATCCTCCCTTTCAATAATATGATGCAATATTATGAAGACCAAAGTTAAGGTTGTAATGCATTTTACTTGACAATTAATTTAATTTGGTATACATCTGATGGAATATTGATATGTTGGAATGTCATTGGAAATGTAATATGTTTGGGATTATGTTGTATGACATTTTGTTTTCTAGGCTTATTTGGCTGTGCTGTTCACAAGTTCTTGCAGTGCTTACTCAGGCAAAATTCCTACTGAAGTCATCAATTTTGGATTTCTCTCTCTTTGCACAGATCAAATTTTATCAAAAAAGTCATGACACAAATATTGTTTGTGGTGTAGTAGCTGTGTTGGTCCCAGGATATGAGACAGACAAGGGGGGGTGAGGTAATATATTTTATTGGCCCAGCTTCTGTTGGTGGAAGGGACAAGCTTTCGAGCTGCACAGAACTCTTTCTCAAATCTGGATAAGGTAACCAGAGTGTCAGAGCTAAATACAAGGTGGGACAGATTGTTAGTCATAAGATATTTACACATGTTGTAGGAAATCACTTAAGATGAAGTGGCATTTAACACCTCTTCAGTCATAGGACAAAGGAGGGTTAGTAGGCAACAAGGTATGTTACAAATTGTTGTCATGAGGCAGAAAACCAGCATCTCTGTGAAGTCAATGGCTTTTAAGGTACAGCAGAATTACGAATTTAAATTCCCAGACTCGTCTTTTGAAGGTGCTGTGCAGGTTCCTCTGAGGATGAGGACTGAAAGGTCAGATATGGAATGATTGCTTTATGAAGTGTTTGCCCATGGGTGATTAGGTGTTTCTGTGAGTTCATCTACAGGTACCAAGGTCCCCAATAATGCTAGTCACAGAAGCTGAGTAATGGATGAGGCTGCCCCTATAGCATGGGGTACCACTGGTCCCAAGAGGGGTATGTTGTCTTATAAAAATGGGAGAGAACCCAATAGACTCTGGATCCTCTATCTGGGCAAACTTCCTGCCTTGGCAGAGGTAGTGATACTCTCTCACTAATGTCAGATCCATCCAAGGAGCAAAAAGTTGGTTCCAATTCCATGGCCAGTGCCATTGGTGCCATGAATCTTGAGATACCATGGCTAGTGGAAGATACTGGAAAGTAACTCTCTCTTTCACATCCTCCCTGGACTGGGGGTGTTATGATCTCTCTTGTGAGGACTGGATCCAAGAGGATGGCAGACTCCAGATCTGGGAGGAGGAGGATATCCTCAGTGGCAATGTATTTCTACCCAGCCATGGTGAGGTGCGGAGGTTCTGTCCTTTCATAGCAGTGGAGTTGGCTTGGTTAGAGTTCTCTATCTTGATGATTCCTTATTGCAGTGCGCCAATGCCACTGATGTAGGAGGCACTTGCTGCTTTTCTTTTGTCGGTACCGTGGATGATCCCATTTGTGCAGATGGGGTTGGTCTTGGAGCACTTTTGCTTTTTGGAGCTGGAAGATTGGTACCGTGCCCCTTGTGTGCTCATGAACCTCCTATTCCAGGGTGCAGAGTCTCACCTGACTTTGATGGTGTCAGGGAAGAGGTCTTCTTCTTGGAGGTGGACCAGGAGGGGGATTTTTCTTATCTTTTATGAAAATGTTTTCTACCCTCTCAATGTTCCCGTGTGGAGGA